GGGGGAAGAGAGCGCGCGAGGGGGGGAAGAGAGCGCGCGAGGGGGGGAAGAGAGCGCGCGAGGGGGGGAAGAGAGCGCGCGAGGGGGGGAAGAGAGCGCGCGAGGGGGGGAAGAGAGCGCGCGAGGGGGGGAAGAGAGCGCGCGAGGGGGACAGGAAAGAGACAGCGAGGAAAGAGAGAGTCAGGAAAGAGAGAGCGAGAAACCAAGAGAGTGAGAGAGTGAGCGAGATCCTTCTAGGCTTCTATCAAAGGTCAATGTTCTGAACTAACCGGTTACAAAGATCTGCCCAATTTACCCAAAAACAACTCTAAACTGAACTCAGATTTGACAATCTCATCAACTTCAATCATGCCCTTTACATATAAAACCAAGTCAATTCTTTTTAAATTACACTAAATATCCTGCACCAAAAGCAAAAGGAACGACTGCCAAATTAAACAATGCTGCTGGGGGCTCTTTGTAAAGAGATACTCTTTCATCGCGCCCAGGAAGCACAGTCTGACCTTGGAAAAACTCATACAGGCAACAACATTATCCAGTTTTTAAACAGGGGAAGCTGGAAATCAAAGGGTGATAGACTGAAGGGGTAAATGTGGAAAGGCAGTGAGAAAGAAAAGGGAGGAACAGAGGGAGGAAAACAGGGATTCAAAATGAAAGATAGATTGAAAAAAGGTGACATCAACAAAACATCCTCACAACGTAAGTGTGTGGGCCAAGTGCCGGAAAATGGGACTTAGTATTGGTTGAGAGTTGGTGCAAACTCAGGGGGCTGAAGGGTTGCTCTGTGCCGTGATGAGATTCTATGGAAACACAATAAAGGAAGCAGTAAACAAAAGGGGAAAGAAACAGTGAGCAAGGGAAAGATGCAAGTGATGGTGGGAAATGGGGACAACACAAGAGATTTCCCTGTCCTCATCCAACTCACAGAGTAAACTGGACATGGTGTCAACTGCACCATCATCACATCTCGCCAAACCGAGAAGCATCAGATGTGGACGGCTGAGCCACTGGTCTAATTTGCTTTTTGCCTGAATCTCCGCGTTAAGGTCCAGAATGCACTCGGACCAGCCCGGCCCCACCACCACGGAGACCCCAGACTAGCTCACAGTCAAACAGCGTCTGAAACACAGTATCGGGAGCGCGGAGATGGGACTGGGGCGGGGAACCAGTCAGCTGGTTCACATACAGCCGACAAACTGAAAAGTCTCCCAGAGTCCGCCTAACAGCCCGAGTCCCAGGCCTGTCGCCGCCTCCTCCTCCTATTGGGCTGGCTCCGGCACACCCGTAGCGTGGACAGCGTCCCGATGATGAGAAATAGCAAATGCACCATTTTTCATAGCTGGGTTGGCACTTGGCTGCCACCTCCCCCCGCCCCCCAACTACCTTTGGTACTTGGTACTGACTCAGTTCAGACCACAGTGGGCGATGCGGCGTGGTCTACAGGACCCATTGCCACTGCAAACGGTGCACACTGAAGCCTTGCCTCTTGCTGTTTCTTTCTTCACCTCCATCCTTTATAGCATCCTTTCCTTTTATCGTCACACTGAAGGTAAAGGTTTTACAGCGAAACATAAGGTGGTTGGTTAGTATCAACATCACCCATACCCCACCCCCATTTCTTTCCTTCTCCTTGTGTGTGTGTTTTTTCTTAAAAATCTCCACCCGCCCCCAAACTTCTCATCTCTCCTTTATAGTCGTCTTCTCTTCTGGTTGGCCAGCTCTTGGAGCGAGCCCATCGGGCCAAGGGGGTTGGGGGGGGGGTCACACGGTTCCGTCGCCTGGGTGGGGGTGGGTTTGTTGGGGGAGATCAGTTGGAGGTATCCGAGTGCACGCTTCCGGGACCTTCCGTAGGCGATGTCACTGAAGAGGGAGTGGTTGCATCCTGCCACCCTCCATTAGCCTGGGGGTGGGGGAGGGAAGGAGGAGGAGGAGAAAGGAAAGAGAGAGAGAGGAAAAAGCGTTAAGAACCAGGCACTGGCCGTGCTGAGCTTTTTCACCTGAAACGAACCCGGACGGTGCAGAAGGGGTTTACAAGGACACTGCTGCGGCTGGAGGGTTTGAGCCGTAGCGGGGAGAGGCCGAACAGACCAGGGCTGTTTTCCCTGGAGCGTCGGAGGCTGAGGGGGGGCCACCTTATTGAGGTTTATGAGGGGCATCGACAGGGTGAATGGATAAGGTCTTTTTCTCCCCCCCAGGGTAGGGGGAGTCCAATACTAGATGGGTTTTTTTTTGGGGGGGGGGGGTGGATTTAGAAGGGACCTAAGGGGCAACTTTTTCCCGTCATCGGTTTTTCCGTCATCAGTAAATTTGGACATTTTACAGTTGCCTTCCTTCATCCAAATTCCTTTCAACTTGTAATTTTTCTAACCAGCCTGTTCAGTGTTATCGTCACACACCCCTGGAGCGGGTGGGTCTCTAACCCGGGCCTCCCGGTCCAATGGGTATGACACTACCACTTCACCACACAAAGGGCCCTAGAGTAAACCCACCAGCACATTTACAGAGCACCCACTTGAGAACTGATAGCTTTAGCCACTTGTTCAGAGTTATTAGCACACACACCTCCGGAGGAGATGGGACTTGAGCCTGGCCCTCCTGGCTCAGAGGTTGGGACACTACCTCCGTACCAAGTCGCAGCTGGGGCCCTAGCGCCGACCCCTGCATTGGTCACCGAAGACAACCTCTCTGTCTGACCCTGCTTCCCAGTGGGATAACCGGTTCTCCATCTGGGGAGCACACGGCGCCTTCCACAGGACTCCCCCACCCGACCAAAGCACTTCATAAACTATTGCAGCATTTTTGGAACGTGCTCCTCTGGCTGCAGTGCACAGCAAGCTCCCACAAGCAGCAAACGCCACACCGACCCAACAATCCAAGGTGGGTTCAAGAGATAAACGCAGCCAGGGGATGCCCGAGAGATTTCTCCTCCCCCACTCTTCCAAAATCTGGCTATGGAATTTCTCCCCTCCCGGCTGGGTAGGTCAATGCGCAGGGCTTTGCAAAGTGGGATTACAAGCTAAAATCCGGGTGCCCCAAAATCCAAGTCGTGGGCCAGGGATTTCGGATCAGGTCCTCCCATTCTCACTCTCTTCACCTCTCTCAGCCATGACGAGTTTTAAGCCTTGAAATCGGGGTCAGGCTGGGGGAACAGGTTCGAGAAACACTGGTTTGTCGTCCCGTGCAAACATCCAAACTTGGAAAAAGTTGACGGCCATTGTCCAGAGGCGGGATGGTGCGGGCAATCCAGTTAAGAACTCAATCGGAGAGGCGAGTGGTTTTTAAAGGGAGGATTTGCAAAGTGGTCACCTCCTGCCAAATGCCTCAAGTAGACTGTGCATCTGAACTCTGGAAATCTACCCCCTGCCCCGCGCGCGCACGCACACACACACACACACACACACACCTCACTGTCTCGCCATCTTTCTTGGTGCAGCTTTCGCGAGGCACCCACTTGTTAACTTGGACCAAGCCTTTGGCCACCTGAGCCGATGTCTCACGCTGGGGAGATCATAGAATCCCAACAGTGTGGAAACAGGCCATTCGGCCCCAAAAGCCCAAACTGACCCTCTGAACAGCATTCCACCCAGCCCCATCCTGCTACCTGTCTAACCCTGCATTTCCTGTGGCTAATGCACTAACTTACACATCCCTGAACACTATGGGTAACTTAGCATGGCCAATCCAATTACAGTCCAAGGATGTGGAAGTTGGGAGGAAACTGGAGCACCAGATGGAAACCCACGTAGACACAGGGAGAATGGGCAAACTCCACACAGACAGGGTGTTTGAGGCTGTAAACAAGCCCATGTCCCTGATGCTGTGAGGCAGCAATGCTAACCACTTAGGCACCATGCCACCCAAAACATTTATATAAATGAGGAAAGCACCAATCCTTATGGCACACCGCTGGACACAGGCCTCCAGTCTGAAAAGCAACCCTTTACCATCACCCTTCGTCTTCTACCTTCAAGCTAGACCTCCCTCTATTCCATGTGATCTAACCTTGCTAAATCAGTCCATCATGAGGAACCTTGTCGAATGTCTTCCTAAAGTCTATATAGATCACATCCATCACTCTGCCCTCATAAGTCTTCATTATTACTACTTCAAAAAACTCAATTAAGTTAGTGAGACACAATTGTTTCATCTTGGTGAAGGCGCCATACAAATCCAAGCCATTGTTGCTTCAGTCACAAACAGGAGCAACGGACTAGCAAACGCCACGAGGGAACAGTCGAGAGCGTTCTCTAACCTGGACAGCCCTCACTGTACCAGCACACACTATCTCATCGTGTTACCGCTTCCAGCAGCACGGTCCCAGTGACATACGGAGATCATTCTGCATCCCTGCAGCAGTCAGGACCGAGGAAGCCCCTCAGGCGGTAAAACACACCCTCCCTCACAGGGTCACACCGACCCACCCCTGTCGCCCATCGCTCCACATCTCTATAGGGCAGAACGTCGCCAGCTCCAAATCCAAGTGAGCAAAGACACAGGCCAGCCGACAGGATTCAAGCTGGTGCAGCGAATTCTCAAGAAAGCTAACAGGATGCTGGTGTATAGGGATGCAAACTTTATGCTGCACGATTATACGAAACCCTAGTTAGACCGCACATGCAGGGCTGAGCACGGATCTGGGCACCGCACCTTTGCAAGGATATACTGGTCCTGGGTGGGGGGGCAGTTCAACACAGGTTTTCAAGAACGATACCTGGTCTTTGGACTTAGGTTTGAGGAAAGATTAAACAATATTCTCTAGAATTTAGAAGACAAAGGGTTGATCAAATAGAGGTCTTCAGGATATTAACAGGGACAAGACGGTTGATAAACTATTGCCACTGGTTGCATATTCTAGAAACAGTGGGCAGTGTCTCAGAATTTGGGCTAGATCATTCATGACAGATATTCGAAAGCACTTCCACACACAAAGAGCAGTGGAGGTTAGGAAGTCTCTTCCTCAAACGGTGGTCGATGCTAATTTAATTGTTAAATTTAAATCTGAGCTAGACACACTTCTGTTGGTCAAGGGCATTGAGGCGTTTGGGTCCATGGTAGGTATTTGGAGAGAGCGCACAGATCAGCCACGATCTTACTGAATGTTAGATCAGGCTCAAGGGGCTGAATGGCCTACTACTGCTCCCATCGCCCTAATTTGGTGGGTAGGAGAGCGATGAGCTGCTAGGAGGAGTAGAAACCCCAGCTCGGAGCTCATTGCATGGCTGGGGGCGGGGTGGGGGGTGTTATCCCAAGAAAGAGAGGGTGGACCTCCATAATCTGGTGTTTCAGTCCCCCGCTCCCCTGCCTCCCCCACCCACCCACCAACCTACACCACCACCCCCATCTCCAACGCCCTCCACCCCACACCCCCGCCAAAGTCGGAGCAGGGGTTCACCTTACCCTCACATCCCGGGGGCTGTAGATCTGACTGACACCCAGTCCCTCACCGTAGCTCCCAGTCTGGTTCAGGGAGTGACGTAGTGACTCCACCTGTTGGGGGGTGGGGGAGAAGATTTAAGACAGAGGGCCTTCAGTGAGATATCCACCAACATCTGACAGTGCCTTTTCATTACCGCGTGAGGGTGGGAGCATGAGATACATACAAACATTCCAGGTACTGAGCTGCCCCACGGCCATGTTTGTAGGGAGCCCGGTACTCCGTTGGCCCCATGCGGTGCAAACCTCACCCCATCCAGGACAGCCTGACCATTCTGTGTCCATCTCCGTTAACGCTTCGACCCTCTTCCCCCACCCCCCCACCACCGTCCATCGTCCTCCGTGCACCAGGGACTAGCGCGAGTGGAGCGTTCCCGAAGGAGGCTGGGGCAGGGACCCCCATCTGCTGTTGGGGCCGGTGAAGCCGGTGATGTGCCCCCAGACCCCATCCCACAGGACGCACTCACGCCGCTGAGCAGAGCTAGGGGTATCAGGCGGAACCTGAATTTACCCCTCTCCTGGCCACGTAACACAGCAGAGGGGCATTTGGCCCGTCAACAGGGATAGCCCATCCCTGATCTCCAATTTCCCGCGCCATTGTACGATGGAGCTTCCCCAACCACTGTCCCGCAGCCGGTCCTGGCCCACTCCGCATTTCCCAGGTCAACAGGCTTTCTCCGCAATGCCTCCACCCTGGCGGGGAATTCCCCCACCTGCTCCACCCTCCCAGGGACGGCCTGCCCCATGGGCAGGAGCCCTGGTACCTGATGACAGGAAAGGATGGGGTTCCAAATGGCTCCAGGGAACCGGGGATCCCAGTGGGACGGGAGGCCAGGACAGACCCCCGAATTGGAGCAGAAAGGGGGCGGCATTTCTTACGAGCTCTCTGGTCGTGCAAGCTAAGGCAGTGCCGTCTGGCAGCGAGGTTACAGGAGAGCTCCTTCGCGTCTACGCTGACTCGTCACCATGTAGTTCTCCACCAGCCCTAGCGATCCACATCACCAGCTTCACGCACCTGCCCCAGCCTCCTTGGGGAACGCTCCACTCGCTCTAATCCCTGGTGCACGGAGGACGACAGACGGCGGTCGGGGGGAAAGAGGGCCGAAGCGTTAACGGAGATGGACAAAGAATGGTCAGGCTGTCCTGGATGGGGTGAGGTTTGCACTGCATGGGGCCAACGGAGTACCGGGCTCCCTACAAACATGGACATCTGAGCCCCGCGAGGGGACAGCGGAGGGGCAAGGCCGGGATTCTACCTTCCGACTACAGCCTTCTGAGCTGCTTGGGCTCAGGACCAAAAGAAAAAACACGTGCTAACCATACAAGCGAAACCGCCTCACACTTAAATCCCATGATGTTACGCCTATTTTTATTCCCCACCACCCCACCCTATTCATGGGGTGTGGCCAACACTTGTTGCCCATCCAGAATCACACAGGGGGCAGCTCAGAGTCACTGCTGTCAATCACATGTAGGCCAGACTCAGTAAGGGCAGCGGATTTCCTTCCCTCTAAAAAGGCATTAGTGAACCAGTTGGGTTTTTTTCTCCCCCCAAACCAAAAAGCCAGCCATTTATTTTAATGCCAGATTATTATCGTTAATTACAACCGAGTTCAAGTTACCTCAGCTACCACGGTGGGACTCGAATCTGTCTCGGGATTACCAGTCCGAGGGCCAGTCACTTTACGGAGGACGTTCACGATTAAGGCCCTCAAAATGGCCAATCATTGCCATGACCACCCTCACCTGGGCGGCCATTGCAATCCTGCACAACTGTGACCTCAGATATTTTCTAAGTAACCCGTTCAGTAGATGTTATCACACACATCTGTAGCAGGAGGGACTTGAACCTAACTTCCTGGTCCAGAGGTATGGACACTACCACTGCGCTGCCAGAGCACAGCACGAGAGCTTTACGTTATAGAATATGAGCATTACTAACCTGAGCCCCAGGATATGAATCCCCATTTAACCCTTGCATTCCCATGAACATGTCACCAGAGCCGGATAGATTAAACGATCCAGAGGAACCTTAGGGGGTGGTGGGGGAGGTCGGGGAAAGGAGTGGAGAGGGAAGAGAGAGACAGAGAAAGAGAAAGAGCGAGGAAATATCAAGGGCACTGTAGATCAATATCAAACTTACAAAATGGATTCAGTGTGCAAGATGTTCATCACAGAAGACTTCAACATTAATAATTCCGCCATCGCCCCCCACCCCCATTAGGTCAAACATTCTTATACTCTGGTCTTATACTCTAACACAGGGCCGCAAATATCAGGCAAGGTAACTCAGAGGCACCAGTTCCATTCAAAGTGCTTCGCCCTCGAGACTGAAACTGTCATTGCGTTACAATCAGCTCCACACAACATTCCTGCTGTAGCTAATCAGAGCCCAGAGACCCACTGAAACCACTAACACGGCCACATCTCCACACCACACACACACACACACACACACTAGATACATCAGCAGCCGGAACGGGGTGGGGAGGGAGGGAGCAGGAAGTCTACTTGGTGGCCCTAAGAGATAGAGAGAGAGACAGCGCGAGCGAGAATGAGCCACAGTGGTTGCAAGCATGACGGAGCGAGAAAAAGGACAGAAAAAAATGGAGAGAAAGAAAAAAAATGAACAAGACAGAATGAAGGAGGGAGGGAAAAAGGAAAAGAGGGTGCAGAGGAGGTAAAAGCATAGGAGGTAAAAGCATAGGAGTTGTCAGTGAAGCCAAGGAGGAGGAAGAGAGGAAGAGATCAAGAGGGAAAAGGGGTGGCGGGTGGGGAGGAGAAGGGAGGAGGAGAAGGGAGGAGGAGGAAGAAAGAGAGGAAAGGAGGCAGGTAAGCAAATCAAGGAAATGATCATGAATATCCAAGGCAATATTGTTTGCCTGTGTATGTCATCATGTCTATGCACACACGTGTTTGTGTTTGTTGGTCCTAGGCCACTACCCTGAGGAACTCCAGCAGGGATGTCAGTCATCTCAGCTCCAGGACCTCGAACAACCACGACCATCTTCTATGTGTCAGGTATGACTCCAACCACTGGGAGAGTTTTCCCCGTGGTAGCCATTGATTCCAGCTCTTTTGTCCATGTTTGACCCAAGGCTGTACTGAGGTCAGGAGCTGAGTGGCCCTGGCAGAACCCAAACTGGGCGTCACTGAGCAGGTTATTGCTGTGGAGGCGTTGCTTGATAGCACTGTTAGTGACACCTTCCATCACTTTACTGATGGTAGACTGGCAGGGTAGCAGTTAGCCGGGTTGGATTTATCCTGCTTTTTGTGTACAGGACATACTTGGGCAATTTTCCACATTGCCGGGTAGATACCAGTGTTGTAACTGTACTGGAACAGCTCGGCTAGGGGAGCAGCAAGTTCTGGAGCACAAGTCTTCAGTACCATTGCCGGAATGTTGGCAGGGGCTGTAGCCTTTGCTGTATCCAGTGTCTCTAACCATTTCTTGATATCACGTGGAGTGAATAGAATTGGCTGAAGACTGGTATCTGTAATGCTGGGGACCGCTGGAGGGGGCCAAGATGGATCGTCCACTCGGCACTTCTGGCTGAAGATTACTGCGAATGCTTCAGCCTTATCTTCCCTGAAGGACATTTGTAAATCAGATGGGCTTTTAACAGCGGTTAAAGACTTTTTTCAGCTTAAACGTCACTATCTACTGTGCTGGGATTTGAACCCATGGTCTAAGAACTTTAGCCTAGAGTGGGCTCACGGGGAGTAGCAGGTGTACATGAGATATTGAACCTGGGGGAGGGAGTGGGGGACATAAAGGAAGCGTGTGTTAGTAAAAGGAAGGGCAAAAGGGAGTGGGGGGGTGGGAGACAGAGAGAAAGCAGGATGCACTGATTTACCTGAAGGTAGACAGGCAGCAGATGCTGTGAGCAAACTAAACAAAGAGGGCGCAGAGTCAGTGACAGCCCATCCACAATGCTGTTGCACCATGAACCAAGGTCAAATCCATACATTTTTAAACATACAGTCAATTCTGATACTCTGTTGTCTGTTGCTTTTTTTTTAAAACAACAGAAGCACAGGAAGAAAATTAATGTTTCTGCCAATGGGGTGGATAAACTGCAAATTAAACAGGTGCAGAAAAGGAGATTCTCTCATCCTCTGGGTTAAGATGGACACTTGTCAAGCAGGTGCGCACACACACACGCACACACTCTCTTCCCCCCACAGCTTATCCACTTAAGTCTGCATATCCCTGAACACCATGCGCAAGTTAGCATGGCCAATCCACCTAACCTGCACGTCTTTGGACTGTGGGAGGGAACCGGAGCTCCTGGAGGAAATCCACGCAGACACGGGGAGAATGTGCAAACTCCACGCTGACAGTCATCCGAGGCTGGTATCGAACCTGGGTCCCTGGCACTATGAGGCAGCAGTGCTAACCACCGTGCCGCCCTTAATGGAGGGGCCAATCATGGCACTGAACAGGAGCTCAAAGCAGGTTAGCGTGCCAATGAAGCTCAACCTGGAGCTGAGGAGAGGGTTGTGAGTGAGACAGCAACACAGCACTGACACCACAAGAGCAGGAGGAGGCCACATAGCCCCACAGGCCTGTACTCCCGCTCAATGAGATCGAGATTGAGGCTGGCTCCTGACTCCCACTTCAGTTTCTCCGCTCGTAACATCGTCACCCTTGGAGAAAACCCCAATCCATCCCACTGTCGTCGGAAATGAGCCGTTAGTCAACCGAAGGCATCTGAACCGAAGGTTCAGTTCTCAGCTCAGTGCGTGAAGACATCAAAGTGCCCAGGTCCAAACATCAACCAGACTCCTTCCTCCCAAAACCGCATCCTACCATGGGCTACGTAGCTCCACAACCCAGCTTGAACTTCTGCAGCGCATCCCATGACCTCAGGACTCTCCCCAAAAGGATTTCCTGCCCACAAAGCAGTGTGGGAGCGCCAGCACTGTTGGCGTGGGCAACCAAGTTGCCCGCAGAAAACTTGGATGAGCCCAAATGTCACAAGGATGAGCAGATTGCCTGTGTGTTCTTCCTGACGTCAAATGAAGGACCAGGGCTCTGGGTTGAAGTCCTGACCCCACCTCCCCCTGTGCTGTGCTGTGGGTCCTGTGTTGTCCCACATGATAAGGTAGTCAGGGCCTGAGTGCACTGACTCTACTAGCAATGCAGCGCCCAGAGGGCCCGACTATGTTCCACACTGGAATCCTGGGCATTCCATGTGTCCGCAGTCTCACAGGCTACTTACTGTTGGGTGAATTGACCACTCCAGCCAAGGTAGCCCCTCACTCTGAGAGACAACCACCTTGGAGGTACTGAGAGATCTCCCAAGGTTGAGTGATGTTCCAATTGAGGTTCGCCGTTCCTGTTTTATCCGCATTACCAAAATCCAACCCCCCCAGTGACTCTGGCCCCAGTCTTTCCAAGAAGGTTCCATTACAGCATGGACGTTACTAATCACCATCAGGAAACATGTCAGACCAAATGTGATAATGGCTTTAAATTCATTCACAAGATTTTGGGCCCAGCCCTAATTGCCCAGCGTGTGAAGGTGATCACATGTCGGGCAGACCGGGTAAGGATGGCAGTTTCTTTCCCTGAAGGACGTAAGCGAACCAAATGGATTTTCCCTGACAATGGTCATCATTAGATTCTTAATTCCAGATTTTTTTTTTTTTTTTACTGAATCCGAATTCCACCTGCTGTGGCAGGATTTGAACCCGGAGCATTATCCAGGGTCTCAAGGTTAACAGCCCAGTGATAACACTAGGCCATCGACTCGTCCACGGAAGTCAACTACGATTGAAGTATAAAGCCTGGGGAGCTCAGTCTCATTGGTGTAACATTACTCCACGAATTTCAGACCTTCAGTCGGGGATTAAGTTTACTCACCCTGATCTACAAGATGGACATCGTCAGGCATAATGGGGACTACTGGTTGCTTTATTTCTTTCCTTTAGAAAGGGGTCTGCCCTTGAGATGGAGTTTCCAATCTCTCAGTGTGAGGGGCGGCGAGAGGATCAGAGACCGGCACAGCTCTGGCGGTGGGGGAAGATGGCACTGTGGGTTTCAGGTTGAGGGGTCCACCAGCAGGTTCTCAGACTCCAGCCCAGTAGCAGGCACCTGCTGTTGTTGGCCCCCTGCCCAACCCCACACATGGTGGTGGTGAGGGGTTGGGGCTGAACCCAGAGAGGGACAAAAATATGTCAACCTCAGTGAATGGACAAGTCAGAAACTCACTCAATTAAAGGTGTAAATGAAAAGAAAACACAAAGGAAAAGGTGGAGAGATTTGGGGGGGGGGGGTGGTGGTGGTGGCAGAGTGAAGAAGCAGAGAAGATGGGATGAGGAGAGGAGCGAGGGAGGGTGGAGAGGAGGCGGAGGAGAGAGGGCGGAGAGTGTGCTGGACGGGACAAGTGAACAGGGCGAGGGCAGGGTGACAGAGGGCGGAGTGGGGTCGAGGGTGCGTGGATGGGGTGGGGGTGAGGGCAGAGTGGGCGAGGGAAGGGTGGGACGAGGGGCAAGAGGGGTAGAAGAGGATCTAAGAGGCGGAAAGGGAGGGGGGGAAGAGACAGAGGAGAAGGGGGTCAAGCAGGCAGGGAAGTGGGGGACGATGATGCAGGAGGCGAGAGATAGTGAGAGAAACAAAAACGGAGAAGGGTCGGGGTAGTAGGCAGGAGCTATTGAGGAGAAAGAGAAACACCAGGATCAAGATGAAGAGAAGCTTCAAGTTGCAGAGATATCATTAATGCACAGCAAACCACCACCAAGGCCCTCCCCATTACTAATCCCACCATTCACCCCTCAACTCACACAAACCCTTGACCAGGAAAGGGTGGGGGAAGCAGGATCGGTGGGGGGGGGGTCAAGGAGAGACTGCCACAGAAGAATCATGATGAAGCAGAAGTCTACCCTTCCTGCAACCTCAGCACAGACTGGGAGAAGTGGAGCTGAGTTACCTACCCCACAAACTTCCTGCCTTGCTCAGGATTTCCCACCCCTACACTTTCCCCAAATACAGGGTGGTCCTACCCAGTGCAGTGAGGGTACCCCCGGGAGATAGGCCCACCCCCCGAAGCAGCTGTCCAAAACTGGAAAACCCCCCCCACCCCCCGAAGCCCAAGGTGGTCCGTGGACTGTTGCCAACCCTTCAGGATTTCACTGGACTGCCCAGGAATTGCAGAGTGAGTGAGTGAGCGAGCGAGCGAGTGCTGGGACAGCCTGGGGGTGCAGGGTCGGTATCATCTCACAGAGTCTGCTTTGACACTGGGACGGGTGCCATTGCATGCCAACAGTCGCAAAAGTGGGGGCTGCGCCAGGGCGAACCAAGGTCAGGCACGGTCGCTGTGCAGATGTTTTCGAAATGCACTATCCCGGGGTGGGGGGGGCAGCGGGTAGTCCAAGAATGAGAAAGGACAGGGAGCAGCACCCTACGCAAGGTCCTCTGGTTATTAAAAGTACACTGCACCTCTGCAAGGCTAGAGAGCCCTGGCCTTGGAACAGAAAGGCAGTGCAGAGCTCAATCCCTGCACATCTCCTTGAGTCGGGCTATACTAACCTTCCCCACCCCCAATCGCTAAACGATAAAGCCTCGCCAATACAGAGAGCTGCAACAAGGTTACTGCAGGGACAGAACAGTGCGGGCACTATTTCAGCTCCTTCGCACCAGTACTCAGTGAGATGGCAGGGTCCAACCCTGTCCCCTCCCCTTCCCTGCCTCTACTCCTCTGGCGTTTGAAGGGAAATAGAAAGAAACTTCCAAATAAAAGACAGCCCGAGGTGGAACGAGGCAGCTTTTGGTTCAGTGGGTACAGGCACCACTGGCCTCAACAGCTGGGGGGAGCACAGGGAGGATGACACAGTGACCCAGGAGTGGGGTGGGGAGACCGAGCACAAGCGTGAGAGAGAGCGCGTACACACAAGGGACACAGAGGAAGGGCGGCGCACTCGAGCTAGCAAATGTATTCTTGACTGCAGTATTGGGGGCGTGCAGGAATATTGAGCGAAGGATAAAATCAGACCAGCCACAATCGTATTGAATGGCAGAGCAGACTCGAAGGGCCGAACAGCCTGGTTGAGTTGGTGTATTTGCACCAAAGAGAGATAAAAACATCTGGAGCAAAGGTTGCAGGAGGTGGGGTAGTGGGGAGAGACAGAGAGCAGAGCAAGAGAGAGTGAGCAAGGAAGGAAGATGAAATAGTTTGCAGGGATAATGAAGGGAGGGAGAGGGGAGTGCGAAAAGAAGAAACTGAGTGAGAGATGGAGAAGGACGACGTGACGGGAGAGGCAGAATGTAGGGAAGTGCCAGAGAGAAGCAAGTCGAGACTTTCTGAGCGAAGGGCACAGCGCACATCACGGAATTCCTAGTGTGGAAGGAGGCCATTCGGCCCATCGGGTCTACACTGACTCCCCGCCCCCCTCCCAAAAGAGCATTCCGCCCAGACCCATTCCCCTGCCCCGCAACCCTATCCCTGTAACCCTGCATTTCCTGCGGCTAACCCATCTAATCTTTGGACTGTGAGGAGAAACCGGAGCACCCCCGCGCAGACATAGGGGAAGAATGTGCAAACTCCGCACAGAGGGTCGCCCGAGGGTGGGATCGAACCCGGGCCTCCGGGCGCTGTGAGGCAGCGGTGCTAACTCTTCGCGCGTTGCGGTTTCTCCCATATTTTCCCGCAAGATGAGCAGTGACCAAAACACACCGGCAGTGCCAGCAGAGAGTAGACGGGGACCAAAGGGACAACGAGCAAAGCCAACAGCATCACAGGTGAACAAAAGAAAAAAAACACACGAGATGCCAAGGCTGGAATGCAAACAGAGCGAGCGAAGCAGAAAAACCTTAAAACGAGAGAAATGGGAGACGTCCGACAGGACGCGAGAGACAAGGGAGGCTGCGATCACAAGGTGGAGCTTTTCTCTTTCTAAAACAAAACACGAAAGAAAAGAAAAGGTGACTCAGACTGGGTGGTACGGGTAAAGCTGCCCTAGGAGGGTAATGAAATGGCCTCAACCCAATCAGGTCTTCGTTCCTTAATCTTTTCGTTTTGCTCAAGCCCCCGCCTTTTGGCTGTCGTGCTGAAAGAGCAACAGTCAGTAGAGAGGATACTGTCGCTAGGTTAGCAGCCTACCTACCTGCAGAGGTGGGAGTGGTGGGCGAGTTTGCTTGGCTGTTCTGGGAGGCAGCTGTAGCACTGACGGCGGTCTTAACAGCGTAAATGTTAGCCTCCTCCTGGAACTTACCAATGTTCTTCTTATATCGGATTCGCTTGTTTCCAAACCAGTTGGATACCTGAAGGGAGGCAGACGAAGCCATCAGAGACGTCTTCTCCTGCACAACGCACACCCATCCACCCCTTCCCCCGCCAAAGCCCAAGGTTCAACGCATCAACTCTTTTCTCCAACCCTCCCCGTCTTCCCCCCCCCACCGCCCCCCCCCCCCCCCCCACCCCGCCCCCACCAACCCCGCACCACCTCCCAGGACACCGGCCGGCGCAACCCATGGAGAGAAAAGGTGTCGGATCGCCTCATCATACAATGGCCAACTCAACACAGAGCACAAGACTCTTCCCCACCTCCCATGCCATTGACTCTCGCTCTCTCTCACGTTCCCATAAGCAGACTTGCCTCTGACCAGCGCCTCGTCATTCCCGCACCATTCCCTTCCTGAAGACGCGTTCGTACAGGAGGGGCATTCTGCCAGCCTCTCTCGATCAGTTCAAACACAGCTCATTTGTCCCTTGTTAACCCAGCCCGGCTCCTGAAGCCTCCCCCGCTAACTCAGCCCAATGAGGACGACCACCTACTGACCAAAGGGCCGTCACAATTCGAGCAGGTCCCAGCCCTGAGGTCCTTTCTCAGGTTCACCCCCGTCAGTCTCCTCACCCCGCGCCGTGTCTCCGGTTTTCTTTCTCAGTCAGGGATTAACTTTATCAGAGAGAAAAAAAAAAATGTTTGTAGGAAAAAAAACGGGAAATGGAACCAAGGAGCAGCCAAGTGAGACCTGTTGGGGTCGAATGTGTTTGTGAAAGAGTCGGGATGGGGCAGGAGGGGCTATATTCTAAACCTGCACTGTCCCCAAAGGAACCGGGCTTCAAACACAAACCCATCCATCCACCCTCCCAGGGTACCCGCAGGGCTAATCCTTCCGAGTGAGTGCCAGGTGTGGCTTCCTCTACATCGGGGAAACCAAGCGGAGGCTCGGGGACCGCTTTGCAGAACACCTACGCTCGGTTCGCAATAAACAACTGCACCTCCCAGTCGCAAACCATTTCAACTCCCCCTCCCATTCCTCAAACGACATGTCCATCCTGGGCCTCCTGCAGTGCCACAACGATGCCACCCGAAGGTTGCAGGAACAGCAACTCATATTCCGCTTGGGAACCCTGCAGCCCAATGGTATCAATGTGGATTTCATAAGTTTCAAAATCTCCCCTCCCCCTACCGCATCCCAAAACCAGTCCAGCTCGTCCCTGCCTCCCTAACCTGTTCTTCCTCCCACCTATCCCCTCCTCCCACCTCAAGCCGCACCTCCATCTCCTACCGACCAACCTCATCCTGCCCCCTTGACCTGTCCGTCCTCCCTGGACTGACCTATCCCCTTCCTAACTCCCTACCTACACTCACCTTTACTGGCTCCATCCCCGCCTCTTCGACCTGTTTGTTTCCTCTCCACCTATCCTCTCCTCTATCCCTCTTCTATCCGCCTCCCACTCTCTCCCTATTTATTTCGGAACCCCCTTCCCCTCCCCCTTTTCTGATGAAGGGTCTCGGCCCGAAACGTCAGCCTCTCTGCTCCTATGATGCTGCTTGGCCTGCTGTGTTCATCCAGCCCTGCACCTTGTTGTCTCTGAGTGCCAGGAAAACCAGCCAGAGTCCGGGATGGATCCAGTCCAACCCTTCGTTACCTCAGTAAAGCCCGTGGAGAGGCTGTGCTGTCACTGGGCCGAAGTGAGGGAGGGACCGGATCAGAACAGATCACCACCCACACAGGATGGGGAAGGGACTGGATCAGAACAGATCAGGACTTTCAGAAGAGGGGGGGGAACTGGATCAGAATAAATTGTCAGCTTCAGGGGCAGGAGCACTGGATTGAAACAGATCACCACCTTCAGCAGAGGGAGGGACTAAATTAGAACAGATCAGCACCTTCAGCAAAGGGGGGGAGGAACTGGATCAGAACAGATCAGCACCTTTACAGGATGGGGGAGGGACTGGATCAGAAGCGATCAGCACCTTCATGGACAGGGAGGGAGAGGCTGGATCTGAAGTGAGCTAAAGGAGGGACTGATGAACCATCTAAAAGTTACACTTGACTGAACACCTTGCTTAGATTGTGCCAGGTCTCCTGACAGCTGGAGATTAGCAAACCCAGGAGGAATGTGCACCATTTCCCTTGCTGCTCTTGCAGAGATCAAATTACCATCTCTTTGCCTCGATCCACAAGACCCTGCAAACGCTGACACTACAGATCTGATCTCAGGTGAAAAATGCTTCAATTGAACTGAACTCCTTCGACAGGTCCCTTCTCTCTGTCTCCCTCTGCGACAATGAGAGCTTTAACTCAAAAGTGACATTAACTACCCACTCCAATTTACCCCCGGGGCTACAAGCTCCCCCTGCTTGTCAAAAACAATTCCATTTATCACAAGGGGATTGGAAGGTAATTTGGTAATTAGCCCTAATCCACAAGGAATCAGAGGCACATCTTCCAGTTAGAGCGAAACGAGGGCTTCCCTAGTGGAGCAGCTCCAGTATACCAAGCCTGGGAAATGTAAACTGGTATCTGCTTATTCCTCAAACACATCCCAGGGGAATGATGAACAAGTGCATCAATGTTAACGAGAGCTTTACTCTGTGCTGTACCAGCACTGGGAGTGTTTGATGGGGACAGTGCAGTGGGAGCTTTACTCTGTCTCTAACCCCGTGCTGTCCCTGTCCTGGGAGTGTTTGATGGGGACAGCGTAGAGGGAGCTTCATTCTGTATCTAACGCCGTGCTGTCCCTGTTCCGGGAGTGTTTGATGGGGGACAGTGTAGATGCAGCTTTACTGTCTATCTAATCCCATACTGTTCCTGCGTTGGACGTGTTTCAATGGGGGAAACAGTCTAGAGGAAACTTTACCTTGTGTTTGAAAGAGTAGAGGGACCTTTACCCTGTATCTAAACTGTGCTGTTTATGTCTTGCTAGTTACATGTGACAACAACATGGAGACATATTCCGTGACTGAAAACACTTTCTGAAGGCTCCCCGCCTGCCTTGAAAGGAGTTCCATTGTGGAACTTCTCGTACAGGGGCGACCAACCAATCTCAATGTGGGAGACATTATTTCAAATGATTTAAGTAATCCCGAGCCCCTTCCCCCGACCTGGACCAGTTGAGGGTGCTTTCTGTCGAGTGGCTCTGAGCTGGAACAGGAAGATCTGTGGCTTAACCCTTGAACTGCTGTGGTGTGACAATGGACTTCTCACCGTCCAACAGACTGCCCGACCTCAGCATCCCCTTAGGAACGCCCAGCTTGCAGGAACAGGCACAGCTGAATGGGGCAGGGAGTCACAACACGGATGTGACAGGAGTGGTCGAACAGAAGAAGGAGGGGCAATGCAGGAACTGTGCTCGGATACTAACTTCACAGGGATGACAACCCAGTCGGTCATGATCCAAAATGGCAACCAAGTAGGTAACAGCAACAACCAATCAGGATTCAACATCCCAACACAAGCACCTCACCAAATGGTGCCTGAGGTTTGACAGCCAGTGTTTTCTCGGAGGACCGTTTGTATTTAGAACAGGGGCTGAACAGTGACCTCCTCCTGCTCCCATGTTGCAAGGGGGAAGAGACACAGCAGGTCAGGGGGTAAGAGTGGGAGCTCACGACCAATTCAGCTGATGGCACAGATTATAGGTGCTGTACAGACATCTTGGGGACCAGGACGGAGGGAGTGCTGTTACCTCGCAAGGTGGTGGGGCTGCACGAGTGGAGGGAGATGGGGGAGCAGGGTGAGGAGTGTTAAATGAGAGCGAGAGCAAGAGCTCCAGAAGTCAACATGCCACCAATTCAGAAGCCAGTCTAGGTCCGTGGGTGGACGGGACACGGTGAGAGTCAAGGGGTTCCATGTGATCCCACCTCCCCGTCAGGTAGAAGACGGACGGCAGGGCTGAGGGCTCCAGCAGCTGACGAGCTGGGCTGTGGGGAGGTGGGCAGCTGGCGATGTGGAGGTAAGAGACAACTAGAGGGCCACAGCAGAACCACAGCCCAGGGACACTCCCATCAGGGGAAACAAGCAAGGGTGGAAATTACAGCACCATTCCACCCTTGGCACGCGGTGGTGTCGGCACTCAGTTGATGCCTTTTGTAAGGCTTGGCGGGCTTTCTCCTTCGACCTCCGTGGGCCTCGGGTTGCTGCGGCGGTTGCTAGGAGATTTCCACTCCTCTGGCCCAACCGCTGTACGGAGAGGCGAAGCCTTGGCTGATTTTATGGGCTATTGGTGGTCAGGTGGCAATAGTTTGGTGAACACTGCCAACTGGGCTGGGTTGGGCGGCCGGCCACTGAGGCCATTCAGCCCTCCCAGCCTGCTCCACCGTGACCACAGCCCTTCATCTAACTTTGTTCACAATTCCTCCCCCATCCAGCCCCAAGAACTCATTCTCAAAAACATTCAATGTTTTGGCCTCAACTGCTTTCTGTGGCAGGGAATTCGACAGGCTCCCCGCTCTCTGGATGAAGACATTTCTCCTCATCGCAATCCTCAATGGCCTACTCTCCCGGCCAACCACCCCACCGTATCCTTAGACTGTGACTCCAGGGGACGGTGAATTGCAGGGGTCGTCACTACTTTTCATATATTTAGCTCATTTTAATTGGAACCGAGTGTTGATGTCAAGAGTTGAACTTTGAACAGCAGCTTGCTTTAAAAGAGAAGAGAACAAAGAGTGGTGTGTGCTGATGGGAGCTGGCCTTGAAGATAATGCACCTTAGTTACCATTCTAAGTACTCTGTAGATGATGTAGCATCCAGTTGCTGTTGTTGTTACGCTCAGGGCTGTTAGCTGGCTGGCAGTGAATTGGTTAATAAGGAGGAGACCATAGCTAACTTGAGGTCTACAAAATCATGAGGTATAGACAGGGTGGATAGCAAGAAGCTTTCTCCCCCAGAGTGGGGGACTCAATTACTAGGGGTCACGATTTCAAGGTGAGAGGGGAAAAAGTTTAAGGGACATATGTGTGGAAAGTTCTTTACGCAGAGGGTGGTGGGTGCCTGGAACGCGTTGCCAGTGGAGGTGGTAAAGGCGGGCACGATAGCGTCATTTAAGATGTATCTAGACAGATACATGAATGGGCAGGGAGCAGCGGGATACAGATCCTTGGAAAATAGGCGACAGGTTTAGGTAGAGTATCTGGATCGGCGCAGGCTTGGAGGGCCAAAGGGCCTGTTCCTGTGCTGTAATTTTCTTTGTTCTAACCTGCCAACCACAGTATTCCGATTGGAAAAAGAACTGCATTTTGGCAGGAGACAGATTTTTGGAAGCTCCAGAGATGCTGTTATGTTTTGCTCCCTCTTGTCTCTCTGGTATTCAATCAAGCTATCAAATTGTTGAACGTCCTGAGAAAAGAATCCCAATCTGTAAGGAATAAGAATGTTTCTGGAAGTGTGCTGAATCTATTCTCATTCACTGGTGTTTGGCATTCATGACATGCAGTTCTACTCGCCTGTGAACAACTCATTGTTCAAGGATTTTGTGAAGGTCTGCTATCCATCATTTGAAAAGGAATATTGAACTGGCAAATTATAATTCATTTATTTGCTTTTTGCTTCATCTCTTACCAAAGCCTGTCTGTCTATCAGTTGGGGGTTATAATCAGAAGATCTGGACTTTACGTCACAGATATTAATTAGATTACCTTATTACTTATGTTCTTAAAAAGTTATATACTCAATAATAAATTGTTAATTCTTAAGTTATAAACTAGGTGGTCAAGATCCGTTACTTGTAAAGTCAGGTTAGGAACGATTAGGCGGTTTTGAGGGTCGGTAAATGTTTTCATTTCACTGTGTTACGAACCTAGTGACAGGGAGTCTGATTTAGCTTGAGGAAGTTATCTCAGAGTTGTAACAGTATGCTCGATTGTTGAGTACACACAAGACTGGAATCAATAAGGGAGCTAGGGTTAAGGCAGGAACATGGACTGGAGGTGAACCGTATTGAATGGTGAAATAGTCTCGAGGGGCCTGTTTCTTTATCAATGTGTTGGGAATTGCAGTGGGGAATTTGCCCACAGTAAGCTCCTGCAAACAGGTGATGAGGTACTTGGCCAGGTTTCAGTGGCGTTGACCTGAAAGTTAAATATTGGCCAGGACAGAAAGGAGAACTCCCTGACAAGAATAGGCTGAGGTTTTTGGCTGAGGGGACACAGTCTCAGTACAGCGTCCCATCTTAGAGACATACCGTGTCGAATAGACAGCACCAGCCTCGGCCAAAGCCTGGTCGGGACTTGAACCCACCTGACTCATGAGGCGCTGCGTTTGACCAGCTGATTCCTGCCATGAGATTTCTGGCAATCCCTCTCTGCAGCCACTCAGGAGCAGAAAGAGGCTATTCAGCCCTTCAAACATGCTCCGTCATATGGTTGATCTGTGTCCTAACTTAACCTGTCTCGCTTCCATCAGGCTTTACGTCCTTACGTCACAAACGACCTCACTTCTGAAATCTCCTATTGACCCCTCAGGTGATCCTTTAAAAGGGTAGGAAGTTCCAGATTCCCATGACACCTTGTGAACAAAGGCAATGCGAAAGAAAGGGTGTCTCTTTTTTTATTTTGCGTCTTTTTTTTGAAAAGAAAAGCACATGGACTGAAATCAGAAAGAGTTCTTTTAAGAAAAGAAGTGCGTGAAAGGGTGGCTGTAGTTTCCAAAGCAAGTAACCTGATGCTCATTGCAGGTATAATGTAAACTGCTGAATAAGCAATAACTGCAGACTGGACAGCTGGGAACAAGGGAGAGAGAGAGAGAGAGCGAGCGAGCGAGATGGGGCACGCGAAACAGAGAGATGCCCTTCTCCAGCTCAGGCATGGTCTCCCTGTTCTGTGCAGTCAGAACTCAACATGAAGGAAACCACTTGATCTTTCCTGCAACAGGTGCTATCTGCTGTGACTTTTAACTGTAGAGTCAGAGACTTCCTTGTGCCTCCCGCCAAATGACAGAAAGATGACTGAAGCAAAGCGCTGGCCAACAGGAGAATCATCTGAGATAACCAGGTGTCGAGCTGGATGAACACAGCAGGCCAAGCAGCATCAGAGGAGCAGGAGAGCTGACGTTTCGGGTCGAGACCCTTCTTCAGAACTGGAACAGTTAACGTTAACTCTGATTTCTCCTCACAGATGCTGTCAGACCTGCTGAGGTTTCCCAGCAACTTCTGACCTTTATAACTCTGTCTGTCTGTCTTCGTAGGGGGAGTTTATAAGGATATTAGAGTTTTAATTGGCAATGTTATATGCTGATGGTTTATAACTGCTCAACTGTAACTAGAGTCTAATGCCTTGTAAAAATAGTAATTCTTGTTCAGTACTTGAACCTGGTCCGTGCTTTTGATCAGTCGTGGTGTGGAAGTCAAGTAAACTGGAGAACTGTGTGTGCTTTGTAAGACCTTGATGTTAATGACGACTCTAGGAATAAAGGGGCTATATTTACACAGCGTTCCTCACGTGAGTCCCGACAAATACCCGCCAAAACAGCTCATTTTCTTTCAGATTTCCCTGACAACAGGAAATATGTTCTCTCTCTCTCTCTCTTGCTATAGGTCAAAATCCACCTGTAGATCACTCCGGAGCCGTCCAGGGAGTGGACGAGCTATGCAGTCGTTATAAAAAAGTGTCGACGAAAGGAATTCAAACTTTCAAAAAAAAAAAAGGAAAATCACACAAAAACAATGAAAAGGCCGCGGAAATAAAACATGGAGCGCGGGGGGGGGGGGGGGGAGCCGCAGCAGCAGGCACACAAAACAATAACGAGAGAAAAGGTACCTGTGAGAAGGTTAAATGGGTCTAACCTGCGATACACTGACCTGCGATACAGTGATACCACACTTCTTTGCCAGCTCTTCCTTGGCCTCCTCACTGGGGTAAGGGTTACTGAGGTGAGAGTAAAAGTATTCGTTCAGAATCTCTGTGGCCTGCTTGCTGAAGTTACGTCTCTTTCTCCTGCAGAAGGAAAGTTCACAAGTCACTAGCGAGTCGGCGAGATCTGTTGAGGGGTGGGGAGAGTGCGAGCAGAGGGCTTATCGTTCACCGTTAGACACCATCGCGAGGAGTGACGCACCGAAGGCCAAGGCCCCCCACCCCCAGCTCCACCTTGCTGGTGATGGCGTGGTGAACTGCTGATCACAGGCTAGGAGCGCAGGCAAAGTGATCCAGGTTAAATGAACCAACACCGCTGGTCCCAGGCCAATCCCAGACCCAGCTGGTCAGGAACCTTGACAACCCCACCCACCGCGCCCGCCACCCCCCCAAAACTTAAAAATACAAATTAGATTCGAACACCCCATCCTTGCCTCGGACAGCACCTGTACTTCACGGTTACCCGTCCTCCCCCAATTCCAACACCCCTCCGCCTTTCTCTCTTGCGTTCCCCACCTTCCCTCCTTCCATTCACCACCGCCTCCTCCCTCAGTTTAAAAAAAAAAGACCCACACTCCTCCTGCTTCCCTTTCCCACTCCCGCGCTCCACACCCCCCCACACCTTCCCACTCCCTCCCACTGTACTCCTGGTACCCAGGACACTGTTTTCTCCATCCCTCCCTCTCCCCTTCTCTCTCTCGTTCAATTCCCCCTCCACTCCTTCTGTACATCATCTCATTTCCACTCCCCCACACTGCCCACCCTCCATTTCCCTCCAGCTCCCTCCCTCCTTCTGGTTCCCCCCATCTCCCTCACTCCCGCTCACCCCCAGCTCCCTCCCTCACCCATGCTCCCCCTGCTCACTGTTTCGTTACTCCCTCCCCACACCCCCAACTCCGTCTATACCCTCCACGGTTGGCCCTCATCTTTCCTTCAGTCCCCCTTCCCCTCCCACGCCCACCGCACACGCACACCAAACCAAACTGGGCAGTTCCTACAACTGATCCCCGATTCCTGCTGATCCTCACCGATCCCCAGAGTGGGTCCGGGAGGGGTTAGGGAATATCTGTACTGACCTGGCGTCCAGGAACCGGGACCGGAGGATCATGACCGCCTCGCAAGTGCTCTGTTTTAGCTGCATCTGGATGGAGCTGAACTTCCGGTGGATTATCCCGACCATCCGCTCGATTTCCTTTGGGGAGATGGGCCTCGTTCGACTCTGCTCCCTCAGGAGGTTCATCACGTGTGTCGTAAACTCACTGCAGGCCTGAGAGAAAACGGACAGGGAGGGCCCAAGAGCCCAGTGAAGATAAGACCTGGCCTCAGGCCCACCAGGCCAACAGTATGGACGCTGCTCCAGCACCCCCCAGGCCAACAGTATGGGCACTGCTCCAGCACCCCCCAGGCCAACAGTATGGGCACTGCTCCAGACAAACCCTCAGGCCAACAGTACGGACACTGCTCCAGGCTCCCCAGGCCAACAGTATGGATGCTGCTCCAGTATCCCCCAGGGCCAACAGTATGGATGCTGCTCCAGCACCCCCCAGGGCCAACAGTATGGACACTGCTTCAGACAAACCCCCAGAGCCAACAGTACGGACACTGCTCCAGGCCCCCCAGGGCCAACAGGGCCAGTATGGATGCTACTTCAGCCCACAGAGCACAGGCGCATATCTACACAGAACGAGGAAGAATGGTGCAGATGGACAGACTGCATCAGGAGGGGGTAAAAGAAAAACAAGAAGGAGTGCACAGAGTTAGATGAAATCAAGACTTCACTGACAAAGGAGCCTTTACTCTGTATCTAACCTCGTGCTGCCCCTGTCCTGGGAGTGTTCGATGGGGGCACAGTGTAGAGGGAGCTTTACTGTGTACCTAACCCAGTGTTGTCCCTGCTCTGGGTGTGTTTGGTGGTGGACACAGTGTAGAGGGAGCTTTGCTCTATACCTAGCCCCGTGCCGTCCCCGCGAGCAGGGCCCTTGTTGCATGTTTACCTGCTCGTATTTCTCCAGCTCGGTGTGGTAGATCTGCCGGATCTGGGCCAGCTTCGCCCGGTAGTCCGAGTGCTCGATTGAGTTATCGGGTGAGATGCCCCCGGATGCTGCGGCTGCGGCCGCGGCCGCCGCCGAGCCACCGCCTTTCTCCGGCCCGGCTACCCCCTCCGCCAGCAGCATGTTGTCCAATCGCATCAGCTGGGGGTCCACAGGTTCCTCCTCCTGACTGCTGCGAATACTGAGACCTGGAGCCAGCAGGAGAAACTCCGTTAAGCTCTCTCTGCTTCGACAGTGCGACGGTCAACAACAGGATCCGGTCACCCCATCACAGGAAGGATATTATTAAGCTTGGGGGGAGGGGGGAGTGGTGGTGGGGGTTAGAAGAGATTTATCGGGATGTTGCCGGATGTGGAAGGTTTGAGTTATTGGGAAGAGGTTCGTACCTCTTTCACTGGAGCAAAGGAGGTTGACAGACAACCTTATAAAGGTATATATCATCATGAGGGATATAGATAGGGTTAGTGGTTCCCTAGGATGGGGGGGGTTTCAAGATTAGGGGGTACAGTTTTTAAGGTGAGGAGGAGAGAGATTCAAAAAAGACGTGAGGGGCAAATTTTTTTTTTTTTTTCCGAACAAACAGAGGGTAGGTCGCACGTGGAATGAACTTCCAGAGGAAGTGGTGGATGCGGGTACAGTTACAAGGTTTAAAAGACATTTGGAGAAGTACAAGAATAGGAAAGGCTTGGAGGGATATGGGCGGGTGGGACCAGTTTAGTTTGGGATTACGTTCAGCTACAGACTGGTTGAAGCGAGGGGTCTGTTTCCATGCTGTACGTCTCTATGTCAAAGACCACGGCGACAGACACCTCACCTCCAGGGCCAACCAGAGATACATCCAAATGGCATTCCTGAGAACAGTTGATCCCCGGGGAAGAAACGTACATGCAACAGTTTCATTTAAATAGCAACTTTCAAGTCTTGGCCGTCCTAAATCCCCTCCTAGCCAATTACGTACAGGTATTAAAACAGAGAATGTGACCAGCAACATGTGCATGATGAGCTCTCCCAAAATAGTGAAGCAATCATGTTTTACCGACGTTAGTTCAGGGATAAACATCAGACCTGGCACCGGGAAATGACCCGAAGTAATCTCATGGAATTTTTAACAGAGCTGCTTCAGGCCATTTGGCCCCTGCATCAAGTTCACTCATGTATTTCGGGCTCAGCTCTGGCTTTCTGTACTTGCCCTGCTGTTGGCTACACTTGAAGACAGGCCATCCGTGGCTCTTCCCAAGGACCACCAACCCAACAGTTACAACACTGGGAAATGCCCTTGTTCAACTCCCACACTCCAGCACTTGGCCCGTAGCCTTGTGGGCCTAAAGTAGCAGGTGCCTTGCTCAAGAGAAGGTTACCCATGCCCTGGACTCCCCAGCCCAGGACAGGGGAAAACATCTCAGCATCTGACATTGTCTCAAGCTTCATTTTAAAGTCACAGGCAAAAGGCAGCACTGCACCAGTGCTCAATCTGCAGAACAAGACTCCAGTCCGCTCTTGTTGAGTGCGATTATGCAAGTCTGTTTCCTATTGATGCTCACTGCACTGGATTGGTTAGGTCTGGGCGTGGACTTGGAGCAAAGATAGTCAGGGGACGGGCCACTGTGAATCAGACCTGTCTCCTCCCTCACACACTCTCTCACTCGAGCGAAATCTCTTTCGATCCCAGTAGTAATTTGCAACAGCCTCAAACCTGCCACCATCAGACTGAGGGGACATGAGTGGCGCCTACTAAGCTACATCTCAGCAGGAACATCTCTTGGCGTCCTGGAAAACACACCAGACACGGGGGCAATGAGAGAGGGGGGCACGGGGGTGACAAAAGAGGGACACGTGAAAAGACAGCAACACTGTGCAGCCCTTCAGCTGATCCTGTGCTTGTGGAGCGCTCACTGACAAAATGACTGGCACAGTCACCCAGAGAGACAGGAAGGAGTGAGCGCCCATCAAAGTAATTAATAACTGAGAGCCCTTGGCAATTGACCACGTGATAAACACGAGTGTAATTAACAGTTAACAAGACTGGACAGGCTTCGGCGTGAGATGCTGCACTCTCTGACACCCAGACACACAATGTGGCCACATTATCAGTCAACTGATAAACAACCTCGCAAGAAGAGTCGCTGCATTCTCAGGCTCCGAGCACAGATCCCGAGCAGGTTTTGTACTCCAGGAGCTATTCTGTGACCCAGGCAATGCTCACTCTCACTGGTTTCTGGTGTTTCAATAATTAAAGCCATCTCGAGTTTCACTGAAAAATGCAGAGAACCCAACTTTCAAGGCCACAGTGGGGGCAAACATCGCTACAGGTAGCAGGAAGCTCTTTCCAAGACCTTTGGGGCGGGCACGGTGGCTCATTGGGTCAGCACTGCTGCCTCACAGCGCCCGGGACCCGGGTTCAATTCCACCCTCGAGCAACTGTCTGTGTGGAGTTTGCACATTCTCCCCGTGTCTGTGTGGGTTTCCTCCGGGTGCTCCGGTTTCCTCCCACAGTCCAAAAATGTGCAGGGTTAGGGTGGGTCGACCATGGGCAATGCAGGGTGACAGGGATAGGGTAGGGGGATAGGATGCTCTTGGAGTCAATGGGCTAAAAGGCCTGCTTCCGCACTGTAAGGATTCTGTGATTTTACGATTCTCATCTTTGAAACCCATCCACAATCAGGCCATGGTTAGGGGTAGGATCCTGCGACACTTACGCTTCTCTCACAGCCCAGATCGTACTGTCCGTTTCCTAACCCAGGGCGTTCTTACAACGTAACTGCAACCCCCACCCCCCCCCCCCAAAACACCTAACCCAGAGCATTCTTACAACGTAACCACCCCCCATACACCTAACCCAGAGCGTTCTGACATAGTAACCCCCTCCCATACACCGAACCCAGAGCGTTCTTATATCGTAACCCCACCATACACCTAACCCAGAGCGTTCTTATATCGTAACCCCCCCACACACCTAACCCAGAGCGTTCTTACACCGTAAGTGCTGCACCGTCCCTGCACGCCTAACCTACAGAATCCTCCTCTCCACGCCACCTCCCCCAACGACAGATCCAGATTTCTCATCACACCACACCCAGCCCCTTCTCAGAGCATCCTCACGCCTATTGCTCCCTCACATAAACCTCCCTCCCTGCCCTGCAGCACCCAGATGCAGGTATGTAAATGGAAGATGGTCTCAGGGGCAAATGTCTGACAACAATATACGTTATTCACCACCTCTGGCTCCCAATCCTTTTCACACAGCAGCAACAAAACCACACAAAAAAAAACTTTAAAGTGTTTCAGTTGACTCAATCCTGTACCAGGATGTCAGCATTCTCATTGTTTTGGGAAGCCAGTGAGTCACTGGTTTCCATGGTCTGTGCATCTATCTTTGAGTGCACGTGTGTCTCTGTCCGTCTGTAGACCTGTGAGTGTGCCTGTATGTGTGTGCACATGCCTGTGTGTGCGCCTGTCTACGTGTGCGTTCCTGTCTATGTGTGTCCACGCCTGTGTGCATATCCGAATGTCTGTGTGCGTAACTGAGTGCCTGTGTGTGCATTTCATTCTATTACCTACAATGAACAGGACAGCACAGAAACAGGCCCTCCAGCACAGCAAAACTGCGTCGACATTGGACGCCTTGCTAAACTAAAAACCTCTTGCCTTTACGTGGTCCGTATCCCTCTATTACCTGGTTATTCCTATATCTGTCAAGATCCCTCTTAAACATTACTATTGTATCCACCTCCACCATCTCCTCTGGCAGCACATTCCAGGCACTTACCACCCTCTGTGCAAAGAAAAACCTACCTCTCTCATCTCCTTTAAACTTACCCCTTTTTACCTTAAACCTATGTAAGTGACATTTCTACCATGTGGAAAAAAAAGAGAGACTTCAACAATCCATTCCTCTCACAATTTTGTAAAGTTGTACCAGGTCACCTCTCATCCTCCGACATTCAATTGAAAACAAACCATGTTTATCCAATTTCTCCTTACTGCTAATACCCGCCAAACCAGGCAACATCTTGATAAACCCCTTCTGTACCCTCCCCAAATCCTCCACATCCTTCTGGTAGTATAGTAACCAGAACTGCACACAATATTCCAAAATGTGGCCTTCCTGAAGTTCTGTACAGCTGCAGTTCTTACACTCTATGCCCTGTCCAATGAAGGGAAGCATGCCATAAAGTTTCTTGACCACTTATTCCACTTGTGTTACCACTTTTAGGGAACTGCAGACCTGTACACCTGGACCTCTCTGTATGTTGATGCTAAGGGTTCTGCCATTTACTGTTTACTTCCCTCCTGCATTACACCTTCTAAATGCATCACTCAATGAATTAATCTCATGCTGTTTCTCTATGTCCCTGCATGCCATTTCAATCCAAATAACCATCCAGTTCCCCTCTTGAACCCCTCAAATGAACCTGCCTCCACCACATTTCCAGGCAGTGCATTCCACTACTCACTTTGAGAAAAATAAATTTTCCTCTCACATCACCTTTGCTTCATTTGAACATCACATTAAATCTACGCTCTCTCGTTCTTCATTCTTCTACGCTGTAGAAGTTGATAAAATAATTAAGGGGTATGGATAGGGTTAATGGTAGGTGCCTTTTCCCCAGGAATGGGGGATTTCACAATTAGAGGGCACATTTTTAAGGTGAGAGGAGGCAGATTTTAAAAAGACAGGAGTGGCAATTTTTTTTTAATAGAGGGTGGTTCACACACGGAATGAACTTCCTGAGGAAGTGGTGGATATGGGTACAATTACAACGTTTACAAGACATTTAGACAAGTACATGAATAGGAAAGATTTGGAGGGATCTGGGCCAGGAGCAGACAGGTGGGACTAGTTTATTTTGGGAACATGGTCAGCATGGACTGGTTGGACCGAAGGGTCTATTTCTGTGCTGTATGACTCTATGATTGGGAACAGTAGCCCCAAGGCCCTAACATCTACCTTATCCAGTCCATTCGTGAACTTTGAAAACTTTTGGAAATTGTAGCGAGTGGCAAATTATTAACATAACAATACAAGCAGAAAATAACGAAAAGGATTGCCCCTCATTTGAACATAATCGAAGGACATTGTCAAACGCGGTAGATTAAAGAGGCCAGCGCCTACTGCCCTGCAAACTGCGTCCCCCTCCCCACCCCCGTATTGAAGCTAAATGGTGGGAGGCTGTTGGTTGACTTTGTT